TATTATTATTATTATTATTATTATTATTATTATTATTATTATTATTCTATACTATATATGGATAATGTGAATTAAAGTATTGATTCTCTAACGATCAATGTATAATAGGATTTTTTTTTTATCTTCTTTTATTATTATTATTTTTTATTTTTTTACTTGATTTTTTTTTTGTTTTTTTTCGAAAGTTTGGGAATCATCATGAGTACAATATCATTTCATACGCCTATTGAGAGTCAATGTGTTAGTAGTAATAATGATAGTAACAGTAAAAAGAATAATACGAAAGAGAACTTAATAATTCCTGTATCTATCTCTACACTGTTTGCAAACAAACTTGGACTTCGTAATCTATTATTACACTCTTCCTCTATTGATGGATTACACCAGAATAGTGATGAGAAGACACGCTGGTGGATCATTCCACCTTCTTTTCTCACAGACTGGTTTCACAATAGACACGGCACACTTCACGGGGGATTCGCTCTTGCGCTCTTAATTACATTCTGTAAACTTCACGTGGGATTATTATATGGAGAGGATAGTGATGTGATTAAGAAGGCAAGTGTGCAGTATTTACGTCCAGTGAATATTTCATCACCTCTTGCAGTGCGTACTTGTTTAGAAAATGTAGATAAGAATAAAGTGCGGGCAACTGTAGAACTATATACACAAGAAAAACAATCGAAGAAGTTCGTATTGGGTGCTTCATCTATGCTTTGTAGGGCTTTCATTACTATTGCGCGGGGTTCTTCAGTTCAATCGCATTTGTAGTGTGAATTTATTTTATTTTTTTTTTCATGTCTATATTTTCATATTCTTTTGCGATCAAATACATTTTTTCCCCTTTAAACATTCTCTATATTAAACTAAATTTCTGAGTATATATATATTAGAAACTCTTATTGCTTTTTTGTTTTTATTTTGCTACTATTCTTTCTATTCTTTCTCTCTCTTTCTCTCTTTATATATATATATATATATATATATATATATATATATATACATGATAATGTGATCTAGAGAGTAGGAAATTCATTAATTAATAGTTCTGGAAATGGAGTTTGTGCGTGCTGTCATTGTTGGTGCTGGTGCGAGTACTTCCACACCAATGTTGAGTTGTATTGCCTCCGGCACACCGTGTTCAAACTGCATGGATGCTCTCACCTATCAACCTAGTATTCTCCGCAATAGTAACAATGATGATAAGAGTTATATTAGTAAAAGTAGAAATCATCGTTTAAATCCATGCTTTCTACTACAACTACGACACCCAACAGATCATACTATTCATAATATATTAATAGATTGTGGAAAAACATTTCGTGAATCTGCTATTAAAGTATTTCCCTCATTTGGAGTTTCTGATCTCAGTGCTGTCTTGCTCACACATGATCATGCAGATGCTGTTTTTGGCTTAGATGATCTTCGTGAGTTTAATCGTCCAGATACACCACTGGAAGTGTTTGGCGATGAACGTACACTGCGATGTATGAAAAATGTCTATCCATATTTATTTCCAAAAGATGGTCCTGCTGTTGTTGGGGCTTGGAGAAAGAATAAAACTGGATTTATTGCCGCCATTAAATGGGATTCCTTTACACCATTAGAGAAATTAACTATACACATCCCATCAAGAGTGAGTCAAACCCCAAATGGGGATTCCACACCAGAGACAAAGACGCCTTCTATTGATACGAGTGAAGAGAATCATTCTACAAGTGTGGCCTGGTCTGTTGTGCCTATTCCTGTTCTCCACGGTAGAGATTATTATTCCAATGCCTTTCTTATTCCTTTACATTCCGCAAATGAAACTCCACGTTTATTATTATACGTATCGGATATTAGTGTAGTGGATGAGGCCTTCTTTAAAAATGTCGCACATGCAAAGACTTTACTTGGCGTGCCGGTCACTACACCAATTGAAGTTCTGGTGCTGGATATGTTATCGCATCATGTTTATTTCGCACATCTCAGTGTGGAGGCGGCTATTCAAGCAGCGCAGGAAATAAAAGCGAAAAAAACATTTTTTGTTGGAATGGCTCATTCACTTAATTACACGGCACTCACACAACATCTTGGTGAGTTGGGCTTTGGTGAAAGTATGGCCGTTGGATTTGATGGATGTGTGGTGGCGGATAACAGTGAAGGGGGGTTACACCCCAACTTGTAAATGTCTGGGATATATATATATATATATAAAGAAGAAAAAACATAAAAGAAGTAAAAAGAAAAAGAGCAAATGAATTTAAGAAAAGGAATGAGGTAGAGAAAGTTAATGACCAGCAAACGACAAAAGAAGGTAGAAGGTAGAAGTGTGAAATAAAACACATTTAAAAATAAAAGATAAAATTATCGTTTGACTGTTATTATTATTATTTTTTTTAGTTCGGCATGGGAAATAAATACTCTTATCAGGTAAAGAGTTTAAAAAAAAAAAAAAACAAGAGGAAATCAGAAGAAAAGGAAATCTGAAGATGTTCTTTTTTTTTCTTTTTTAATTATATTCTTTCATTTCTTTTTTCTTCTTTACTTAACTATTTATGCGTAATGGAAAAAAACACACACACACACATACACAATCTTTTCGAACTCTCCTAAAATAGAGAGAAGATATAAATATAAATATAGTCACAGAAAATAATAACAACCAAGAAAAAAGAAGAGGGGGGAAAAGGAATCCGATGCATTCTTATTTATTCTGAGAAATGAACTTATATGTAGTCTCTATTGAGTACTCAGTGGTGAAGCCTGATCCCTCACTTGGGGATGAGCAGATGTGTAATTTCTTCAACCGGGTTTCTAACCGGTGTCCATTACTGCACTTATTCGGTTATGTGTATACAAAGAGATATGAGAATCGATCATCACACCATCTCCACACCGCACGAACCCCATCATCTGCAGAAGAAGAAGAAGAAGAAGAAGAAGAAAGAAAGACATTAAGAGAGATGGATTACATTCAAGAACGTACAGTTTGTGTTCATGTACATGGTATTTATCCATACTTTATGGTATTACAACATGATAAGAGAGTTTCTGCGGTACAGTTTGGGGCTCAACTGGAAACTGTAGCGGCTGCCGTATTGGGAATAAATAATTTCCATACAAGTGATTTACCACAGTTATTACATCAGGTAGAAGTGGTAAAGCGAGTTCCTTTCTATGGTTATCATACAAGACCATTAAGACTCTTTAAAGTAAGTGTAATAGATCCTGCAATGATGGGAAAACTTGTACATCTTCTCTGCAGTACCACACTTGTTGGAGGAAGACAATGGGAATTATATGATGCCCATTCCCCTTTTCATTTTCAGTTTATGGTCGATTACGGTGTAAAGGGAATGGCTCCATTCTCTATTCCATCCTGTACTGTACGGGCACCTTTACCAACAGAGATGAATAATCCAATCACACAATCACAGTTTGGTATAAAGACAGTAATGCCAATAGGTGAACCACCACGTCTCACACGTGCAGAAGTAGAAATGGATATTTCTCTTCAAATGTTAAAAAGACGTGATAGTCCAATGGAGCCTGGGGAGAATCTTCTCTCTGTTAGACGAAGTGTGCAAAAGTATTTTGCAGAGTTTGGTGTAGATGATACTATTAGACGTGCAGCTGCCGCGACGAATATCTCTCTAGAGCAGCGTTATTATAATGTTTCTGATCTCCAACGAAGTGATCCTTCTGTTGCGGCAATGCGTCAACAGGCTCTTATGTATTTACAGGCTCGTGGGGTTGTTGTGAATTCAGATCTCCACACCGTTGATGGTATTATTATCGCTACCGGTACAAATAGTGATGGGAACTCTCCATCACAGGCACCATTACTAGATGTGGTCTTTTCTACACAGGATGAGAGAGATAATAATAATAATAATAATAATAATAATAATAATAATAATAATAATAATAATAATAGTATTAATACTACACCGTTAACGGCTACACCAAGTGTGGGTCTTACATTGAATATTATGCAGGGTTTTCAGATTGGTGGGGCGACGATAACACCACTTTCATTTTCATCATCTTCATCATCTTCACAGCTCTGCATTACACCGTGTTGTGAAGAAAAAGAGGAAATTGCAGCTGTTGAGATGTCACTGGCACACGAGTCTCCGTATTCATTACTACAGTCTGCCAAAGAAGAAGAAGAAGAAAACAATATATATAACGATAGAGATGAAATGAAAGAAGAGAGTGAATGTTTATTACTTTCAAACAGAAGTAGTAGTAGTAGTAGTAGTAGTAGTAGTAGTAATGATGCTGCTGCTCCTATCCGTAAAGTTTGTGTTAACGATAAAACCTTTACAGTTGGGGACTCTATTGTATTGTTTGGAGTCCAAATGGAGAGAGAAACAACACCGGGAGGAGTGCCGTTGTGTGCAAAGATCACAGGTGTAAACTCTCACACAGTGCGGCTGCGGTGGTATCTCACACTTCGGGAAACACATCTCGCAAACAGTCAATGTGAATTAGAGAGACGTGGACGGTGGTGGCATAGGCAAAGAAAGACAGACAATCACAATGAGAAGAAAGCTCTAATAGCAACAACAACAACAACACCAACAGTAATAATAACAGAAGAAACAGAGGAGGAATGGTTATTAGGGGATGTAGAGGATGATAATCCTATAGAGGTTTTACGTCATGCTAAACGGGTTGTAGTGGTACACAACTATAGGGATTATAATAAGAATTCTGTAATACTCTGCAGATATAATTATCATATCTCTGAACAACGTTTATCTATGATAGAGCCTAATGTGAATGGTGATATAATAGTGGCACTTCCAGCTGTACTCACATCGTCTGTTAAAGAGAGTGTAATGCCGGGTGTTGTAGATGAGGGAGAGGAATTACTCTTATCATCATCATCATCATCATCATCAATATCATTATTATCATCTTCTTCTGATTTGTGTTCTCATCTCAGTGTCTGTGAATCCTCTGTGAAAAGAGATGTGATGATCCCATCAACGTCTATAAAGGCAGAGAATACTCATCCCATTATCATACAGAGATCTGTGAGAAGAGTTATTCAACAAGTGGCCCAATCACAACTATCACTGTTACTCACTGGTACGAGTGTATCCCCACACGCCTCTACGCCTGTTGTGATGATGGGAAGAATGAATGGAAATACAAAAAACTCAGAAAGTTCTTCTTCTGTCGTCTGTATTAATCCACAAAGCCATAATCTTCTCTTGGAATGGAAAGAACAACACTGTCGTGTACAACCATCATACTTCACCGGTGATATTCCACGTAATTTTCAATGGATATATAATGAAGATACTCAAAGTGTGATGGTCTCTGCGGCGAGTTGGCCATTCACAACACCTATTCCATCTTCTTTATCTTCTCCTTCTATTGTAAAAACAACAACAACAATGGGAGTGAGATCAGGGATTGAAATAGATCGGTCCAATACAAGTACGACACGATCCTCCATCCCACTACTTTCACAAGTAGCCAATACAATGATCACACCATTAGCTCAACGACGGCCAGTAAACACGAAAGAAAAAAAGTGGAATCCACATCCATCATCCAATCGATCAAATTCACTTCATGGATCTATACATATGACGTGTTCTTTTCGTATAATGTGTGTAGAAGTTCTTATTCATCGTGAACGTGATGTCCAAGATGTGGCACAGGAAGAACTCCTTGCGGTAGCGCTTGGAAAGACAACTTCCACAGATGATACGATTGCCGTTCAACTCTTCTGTGTTTCTGGAATAACATCATCATCATCATCATCATCTTCGTCATCTACTGTAAAGGAGTCTTTACCGTTTAGTGGAGATGTGCGAGTGGTGTATGTATCTAGTGAGGTACATTTACTGCGGTGTGTACGGCGGGAATTACTGCAGTATGATCCTGATGTGATCTTATCATGGGATGGATTTAGATACGGGATTGGACTACTGGCATTGCGTTATCGTCTAGTACTGCAGCGTTCTCTCGCCCGGGATCTTTCCCGTCTGGTGAGTGATGTGAATAGAAGAGAAGGTGGAGGAGAAAAATCCATAAGAATGGATAAAAACAAAAGGAATACAGAATTATCTTCTTTCTGTTCTTCTTCTTCATCATCATCATCATCATTATCATTATCATTATCATCGGTTTCATCATGTGATAGTGCGTATTCAGCAGGAATGGAAGTAGACCCTGCTACTATTAATAATAATACTAATAATAATAATAATAATACTAGTAATAATAATAATAATAATAATAATAATAATAATAATAATAATAATAATAATAATAATAATAATAATACTAATACAACAGGGGATATGGTAAAACGAGTAACACGACGATTTGGCAGCAGTCTGCGTATTACTGGCCGTATTGTTATTGATCTTGGCAAACAATTACGTAAAGAACTACAACTTCCTTCTTACTCTCTACAAATGGTTCATCAAAAACTCTTTAACCGAAATTTACCCTACTTTACAGATATCGCATTATCTGAAATGTATTTACATGATAAGAATGAAATGCGACGTGTGGCCCTCTCTGTTCTCCTCACACGAACCGTCACTCCACACCGCATTGCTCAACATCTTCACTTCTACACACGCACAGCGGAGTTCTCACGGATGTATGGAATTCTTTTTCATGAAGTTCTCAGTCGTGGAAGTCAATACCGTGTGGAGGCCACTTTATATAGAATGGCTAAACCCATTGGATACACTATGCTCTCTCCATCACGAGAACAAGTACACCGTCAACCACGATTGCAGAGTATGCCACTTATATTACAACCACGTAGTGACTTTTATAAAGATGATCCTATAGTAGTATTAGACTTTCGAAGTCTCTATCCAAGTTTGATTATTGCATATAATCTTTGCTATTCCACTTGTCTTGGTACGGTAAGGAAATGTCGATATAGTCGTTTAGGCGTAATTCCTTCTTATAAACAAGCTGATCCATTATTACTTTCACAACTCACAGAGGATGAAATTGGGAAAAGTTTACAAAATCACATTACCTTTGCACCGAATGGTTGTATGTTTTTAAATCCAACCACTCGTGAAGGTGTACTTCCACAAATGCTACGGGCTTTATTGGAAACACGTTTAGAGGTTCAAGCAGCATTAAAGTATGTTGCCCAACCATGTGAAGATGTTTATATGCAACAAGTATTTCATGAACAACAAGCGGCTATTAAAATGCTTGCCAACACCACATATGGATATACCGCCGCCTCTTTTACAGGACGAATGCCTTGTGTAGATCTTGCAGATGCTATTGTGATGTTTGGACGACAAACATTAGAACGAGCCATGCGACTTATTAATGGTCATCCTTCATGGAAAGCTGAAGTGGTATATGGAGATACCGATTCTCTCTTTGTACGATTACCAGGTAGAACTAAAGAAGAGGCATTTGTAATTGGAGAAGAAATGGCAAAAGAGGTAACAAGAGTAAATCCATCACCTATTCAATTACAGTTTGAAAAAGTACTTTTTCCTTGTTTATTATTAGTGAAAAAACGATATGTGGGATATGCATACTTTAAACCAGATCAACAAGAACCACAATTCCTTTCAAAGGGAATTGAGACTATTCGTAGAGATCAATGTTTGGCAACTTCACGTTTAGCATCCTGTATGATTCAATCACTTTTTTCAGGTGCCTCAACGGAGACTCTACGAGAAATTTTCTATAAGGAAGTAAGTAAACTACAACGTGGAAGTTGTAATCCAGCAGATTGTATATTTCGTAAAGCCGTAAAACTTGGAAGTTATCGTCGAAAGGGTAATTTACCACTGGCAGCCCATCTTGCTATGCAGTTAATGGAGAAGGATATCACCTATACTCCTTATTGGGGTGAACGTATTCCATATCTTGTAGTCCAATCGATGGAATCTGTACAGTTGCGGGATCGGGTGGTTCACCCACAAGAATTATTGAAATTAGAAGAAAATGTAAAGATTGATACCGAGTATTATATTAAACGTCACATTATTCCTGTTTTAGATAGAATGTTGTATCTTATTGGGGTTAACTGTGCTAGTTGGTATGCGGCGATGCCGAAGAGACGTACATACCGTAGTTACTTTGAACTTGGTTTAATAGAGAAACCCCTGCTGAGTGGTTTAAAAAGAACACGATCACCTCATCATCCTCTTGTTGTGGATGTAGACAAAGAAGATGATGAAAATAATAATAATAATAATAATAATAATAATAAAATACATTTAAACCCAAGAGGTCATACATCTTTGTATGTAAAAAAACGAACATTAGATGCGTATTATCAGCAAACATTATGTGCTGTATGTCTTGAGAGCTCTGTTACTACAAACCCACCCGATCCACCAATTTGTATAGATTGTCTTCATAACCGTACGAAAAGTGTTATTCGTGTAATAACTCGCCGTCATTCTGTGGAGAGACGCTTACGACTAATTGAGAGAACGTGTTTACGTTGTATTGGATCATGTGGAGAAATAGGCGGTTTAAACTCTATTACTAATACTACTAATACTGCTGCTGGGGCTGTGGAAGATATAGAGGATATACATTTCGCTATTCCTCGCAGTCTTGCTAGTGTTACGACTACGGTTCTTCACCCCACGATGGAGAAGGAAGATGGTGAAAAGGATAATAATAATAATAATGAGGATGAATATATACCAGAAGGATGTGTATCTATTGATTGTCATCTTTCATTTGAGAAGCGACAACTTTTTCTTCTTTATTTGCAGCTTATGGTATTAGAGCAATATGTGACGAATTTGTAGTGACTCAATTGTTGTTCCCTAATAATAATAGTGATAATAATAATAATAATAATAATAATAATAATAATAATAATAATAGTGATTATAAATAATAACGATAGTTGAGATTTGCATGCGCCTTTTTTTTTCTGTTATATTTATACCTTTATAGATTTGCAATAAATGGAGAGAAGAAGTATATAATATGTTGCTATATATAGTTATAAAAAATATAATAACCATTATTATTATTATTATTTTGGTTCATATATTCTAAATTTCTCATTTCCTTTCTCTTTATGGATTTCTTTCCCCCTCTTCTTTCCATTTTTTTCTTTATTTCTTGACAATGAGTCTCTTTCCAAAAAAAAAAAAAAAAAACAAATAATAATAAAAGGGAAACAGAAGACATTACAGAATGAGACGATTTACTGTGAAGGTGATCCCACCACTCCACTGCCTCTCATCTGTTAATATGAGAAGAGGTACATCTACTACTACTAATACTAATAGTACTAATACTACTAATACTAATAGTACTATGGATAATACTAGTAGGGAACTGCAGATCTCTTCTACAGATGAGTTGTGTTCACCATTTCTCTCTTCGCTGTTGGATCCACCAGAGACTGTCGTGTTGGAGGATGCCGCTCGCACATACACGACCATGAATGTAGTAGACCCACCCGTGCGGTATAATCCAAATACTCCAAATGTGGATGCATCATCATTATCATCATCTTCATTACCATCCACAATGGTAGTGGAAAAGGATAAATATACAGAATACGATTCTGAGGAAGAAGAAGGAAAAATTACACTTGCCCATCGTAATGGTAAATTATGGTCTACATTTACTTCTTCTAATGGTAAAAATGAACCACCTGCATGGTTTCATAAACTTTGTGAAGATTTATATTACCGTCGAAACAGTGAAGATGAAATGGATACAACCGCCTCTATCAGCGATATTGAACCACAACAACATGTGAAAGATATGAATACGACTACCTCTAATTCTGAAAATGAGGATGATGGAAGTGTAGATCCATATTTATGGCTTCCATTTAATCTTTTAGATGTGGCTGAATATAAAGTAGGTCCTTATATATTTCCAAAAACCGCTACCTTTTCACATGAACAGCGTACTTTATTATGTAATGGTGATACTCGTAAAGAATATGTTCATTTTTGTAATACTTACGCTTTCCCAGATCGTTTACAGATTCCAACTTCTGTAGGAACTCAACCTGCTAAGTTATATATAGATCCACTTCAAACATCACCTGTGGTTTATATTCAACTTAGTGATGATTTTCCACCAGCGATGTGGTTACCTGTTAAAGGTACTGCTGCAGCGGTTCGTCGTGTATTGGCAGAATTTGCCTCCATGGCGGCATTACATCGTGATTGGCATCATGAAGGGTTTGAAGAACGTTTTGCTGCGGCTGCACGAGTATTGGAATTACAACGAATGCCATCAAAGGATAGTGATATTCTTCGTTTTATGGCTTATGAGGCACGGAATACACAATTTGTATTTGCCCCTATAAGGGAATTTCCTAATCAACAAGAATTCTTTCTTGGTGAACATGATGATCCTGAACGTTTAATCGAACATATGGATCTTTGTCCGTTTCTCTTTGCCATTCCACATATGCGAACAGTTGTGGATCTTCATGCGGAACATATGACTCCCACTATTGAAGGCCCTGGTGTGGCCACATCTCTTTACCGTTGTATTTTCTCCAAAGCCCTATTGTTTATACAAGTACAACTCTCTGCGGAAGTTAAACTCCCTCCACAAGACCCGGAGGCTTTTCGTTTTATGTGGAAAGATTCTCAAGTGATACCTAAAATGCATATCCCCGTATTTGTTCGTGTTATTTGGCCTGATAATGAACGAATGTGTGGAGGAGGTCAAATCATACGCCGTTTAAATCGTTATTTTAAAACAGAATTTGCTTCTGATATTCCAATTGATGCGGCCATGGCATTATTATATGTAATGCAATGGGCAAAGGAATTACCAAACTTCTTGGGCGTGCGTGGAATGCGAGATCGACTTGCGGCATTAGAAGCAGCGAGTGAATGTGCAGATCCACCGCAGCTTTATCCGGGTACACGTGAAATTCCCAATCCGGAGTATACAATAGCCGAACGTCTTGGAATGCATATACAGTATTTGGCTCAACTCGGGGATCCGGAGGTGTCTCTCACTATTCAACGATTACTTCCGGAGGCTTCTGCACCTGTACGTATGGGATGTGCAAAGGCAGCATTAATTGCAGGGGATAGAGAGTTGTTTCGACACATTGTGAGTAGTGAACCACCGGGTCGTATGCAAACATATATGACGAAACTTGTACGAAAGCGGAAATCACGGGATTTACTGGATGGAGAGCCACGATTACTGGAGGAACAGTATGAGTTTGCCGCTCCTTTGTGGACAAAGCGGGGTACACGTATTGATAAAAATACTCTGGAAGGTGCAGTGGATGCACAAGGAAGACTTAACGGGTAAACTGCTTTCATCTTTCTTTCTCTCTCTCTATCTCTCTGTATTTGGGTTATTATTATTATTATTATTATTATTATTATTATTATTATTATTATATCTCCCTTGTATTTTCTTTATATATCCTATTAGAAAAAAAACAGGAAGGTGTGTATGAAACTGGGGGAGAGAGAGAGATGATTGAGTGAAGAGGGGAAACATATGACTGCTGCCCTATTAAGGTATTTCACAGACTAATTTACTTTTTTTCTTCTTCTTATAAAAAAAAAAAAAAAAAGAATTATATGAAGTAAAATGAACAGATGCGTAATGTTTATATTTCTCTTTATTTGTTATAAATCTTCTTTTTCTTTTTTCTTTTTTATAATGTTAACATAAAGTACCGGTAGGGAACGGTTATTTTATTGAGTAATCATCTAGCTTTAGAGAGATGGCAACCAAACGTCTTCGAGAAGAGTGCGAAACTGATAATGGCCATGAGCAAAAGCCACGACAAGAAGAAGAAGAAGAAGAAGAAAAAGAACAACAACAAGAACAACCTCAGCAGGAAAGACAAGGAGAAAATAAACAAAATGAAAAAGAACAAGAACAAGAACAGAAGAATGGAACCAAACGATCTCTGCGAGAGGCACGCTTTGAAGGACGCGCCATGAATGAAGACTTCCATCAACAACTCGGTCCATATGAAAGACCAGACGAGGCGACAGATGTGGAGGATTTACTGCATGGACATGAAGACTTTGGGGATTTACCAGAAGACCGTCGCCGCGCATTATTGGAGTCTGTGCGTATATTAGCTCAGAAAGCCACAACATCAAAGAATAAGAATCAATTGGAACATTTACGCGTAAAGGCATCTCGTCTCGTTGGATTTAAAGATACAGCACGCAAATCGGAACTTATCGCGGCTTATCGCCATTTAGTTCGTGCTGGGGAATTGCAGGAATCACCGGCAATAGAAGATCTTCTCTTGCGTAAGCGTGGGAAATCTCATAGTGGTGTACTTGTGGTAACAGTCTTTATGGGACCTGGAGAGTTCTCCTGTCCAAAGGATTGTCACTATTGTCCAAATCAGCCTGGTATTGCCCGTTCTTATCTATTGAAGGAACCAGGCGTTTTACGAGGATATCGTAATGGATGGGATCCTATTAAGCAATTCTATGATCGTGCTAGTGCATTAGAAAATAATGGACATGTTGTTGATAAGATTGAGTTAATTATCCTTGGTGGAACCTTTTCATTTTATCCAAAGAAATATGCAGAAGAATTTTTTGCTGGATTTTTTTATGCTGCTAATACCTACTATGATTCCACCCCATTACGTCCTATAAAGACATTACAGGAAGAAATTACAATTAATGAAGATGCCCGTTGTCGTATTATTGGTGTTACTGTTGAGACTCGACCAGATTATATTAATATAACAGAGTTACGTCGTTTTCGTACACTTGGTGTTACTCGTGTACAACTTGGTATACAACATCTAGATGATGATATTTTAACCGTAGTTAATCGTGATTGTCCTACGGCTAAGACTATAGTAGCTATTAAACGTTTACTAGATGCAGGATTTAAAGTGGATGCCCATTGGATGCCTGATTTACCAGGAAGTAGTTATATAAAGGATCGTGAAATGTTTGAATATCTTTTTTCTACCGATAATGAAAATTTTCAGGTGGATCAATGGAAAGTTTACCCTACAGCTACAGTCCCGTATACAAAGATTGAGGAATGGTATCGAAATGGATTATATAAACCATATGCAGAAATAGATAATGGTAAATGGATGGTAGAACTACTTGTATATATTATGCAAAACTGTCCACATCGCATTAGACTTAATCGTATTATTCGTGATATTCCTACCACTTATATTATGGGAGGAGAACGACGATGTAATCTACGACAAGTCATTGAAGCTGAAATGAAATCAAAAGGTATTCAATGTAAAGATATCCGTGAACGAGAGTGTAAAGGCGCCTCTGTTGATCGTAATAATACAAAACTTTTTATAGATGAATTTCGGGCCAGTAATGGAACAGAATTTTACATCTCTGTAGAGAATGTAGAACGTACAATCCTTTACGGACATTTACGATTACGTTTACGTGATGACAGTAGTGTGAACAATTCTCTCTTTAAAGCCCTTGAGGGATGTGCGTTAATTCGTGAATTACACACATATGGACGACTTGTAGCGGTCTCTCGGCCTAATTCCGGTAATGAGGCTCAACACATGGGCGTTGGCACTCAATTAATGCGAGAGGCGGAGCGAATAGCGGCGGATCGTGGGTTTACTTCCATTGCTGTGATTGCGGGTGTTGGGGTTCGGCGATATTACGCTAAATTGGGATATGAACTGGAGGATACATATATGATTAAGCGAATTGCAGCGGATGGGGGAAATGCGATTACAGAGGAACAGGTGGAACAGGATGATGATAATGATAACGTTGGATTCTTCTCTAAACTAAAGGGATTGTTCTTTGGTAAGTGAAACCATTTATGAGAGAAAGAGAAAAAGAAAAAGAGAGAATATAAGAAAAAAAAAAAAAAACAAATAGTGGAGATGGAAGACTATTTCCCCTTTTTTTTTCGTTTTTTTTGGATTATATTTTAAATTTTTAATACTCTCTCTCTCTATATATATTACATCGCATCGCAACGTATGTTCATACTAATATAAATATAAATATATATTAGTTACGCATAAATGGGGGTGAAAGTATCGTTTCTTTCTACTCCCCTTTAAGTAAGTAAGACGAATAAAATACACACACACACAAAAAAAAAAAAAAAACGAACAGAAAGTTAATAAGATTGATACGATGGTGTAAAGAGGAATAGTGAGATAAACAAGAAAAACACAAAAAAAAAAAATAAAAGAAAACAGAGATGAATCTTTTCATTTTATGTATTGACAAACTAGCCTTGTACAAGATTCAAAAAAAAAAAAAAAAAACGAATTTACTATGGTTGCCAATATTTAATTATCTCTTTCCAACACACATACCTCCTATTTTGGTGTGTCTCTGTGCTTTAGGGGGTTATTATAGTTGTACTTATCTCTTTAATATATGTGTACCTTTTATATTCTTTGTTTCTATTTCTGTTCTTTTTTTTTTTCTTTTTAGAGAGAGTTACCTTGGTGTGTTGCGTTGAGAAGTGGCAACATAATATTAATAAACCGAGAAAGAAGAAAAAGAACTATTCTGTAAGAAAAGAAAAAAAAAGAAGAAGAGAAACATTTAGAATCATGAGACGCATAAGGATAACTGGGTTTAGTGCCCGCAATCACACGGCAGTAACACCGTCCTCATCCTCATCTTCTTCCTCTTCTTCTTTATTATTAACGTTCTCATCACCATGGATGTTTCTTTCATTGAGAGAGATTGGAACAGTCTCAGAGGCGAAACCTTCAAAGAAACGCAGTAGTTTCTTTCAAATGGGTGATATCTATAAACCTGGTAAGTTTACATCTAAAGATTTACCGAAAGGACCAACAGCATCTAATCAACCATGGGATCCTGTTTTTGCCCACTATGCGTTTAATAAAGCCACAGGCCCATTGCAAAGAAAACAGAACACTACTCCAGATGATCACCTTACAGTAGATGAACTTGATAAATGGATGGATGCCAAAGCCGCGGCTAAAGTGTTAGGAATTAAAGAGAGTGAGTTATCGACATTAACAGCACCACAGGTGGAGGAACGGTGGATAAAGATGTACGGTGAACGAACGAATGCGATGCAGCAGGAGGTTGTTATTGCAGCTGAAGTGTTATTAGAATACATTGACTCTTCTCTGCATAAGAAGAAAAGCAGACAATATTACCGACAATATATTGATAATGCACGTCAGGCAATTGATCATGAAACGGATTTACGTCGTAGAGATCACCGTCAAAAGTTTATTTATCTCTCCGCTATTGCCATTACCGTTGGCTGCACCATTGTTCTCTTTGTGGCTTTCTTCCGTAATATTATTACCCGCAAAGATGTAGAGAATATTGGAGCCAATGCGGTTTCTTATCTCTATATGGCCTTCACACAACCCACCAACCCAGAACCCGCACCGGACTACACTCTGCGGTATAGAGAAACCCCTACGGCCATGACGAGAGATCAACAAAGTGGATTGTATGGAGTAACAGATACCACACAAGTGCGAATCGCAACAGAAGTGGAGGAATACCGCCGACAGGAAGAGGTGGAGTTGCTGCGAATGCTCAATGATGAGAATGAACGTGCGGCTAAAGAGGCGAAGGAGCAGCGAGTGCGGGAGAGTCGAGTGCGGGTCTATCGTACGGATGACTTTGATGCCTCTGGGGAACTGAAAGAAAATAAAACAAATGGCGATGGAGAAGTAGACCCGGCAGCGGCGTTTTCTCAAATGTCGTTTAGACAATTTGCGGCCATGATGGCCTCACAGTTTGGGGGCGGATCGCGATTTCAACGGATTACGCAAGACAGTGTTCGGCGGGCGGAGGAGGTGGAGCAAATGCAGAAACGGATGGGAGGACGATCAAGTGAATGATAGGATTAACCAATAAGAGGAATATATATATATATATNTTTTCCTTGCTTTTTTTTTTTTTTTTTTTTTTTGGTTTGTTCTCACTCTTATGTATACTTCTCTTTACCTATCTTTCTTTCTTTTCTTTCTTTCTTATACTTTTCACATTACAGCCTTGCTACAGTCCTTTTATTTTTCCTCTTTTCTTTAGATATACATCATCATCATCATCATCAGTGGGAATAGGAATGGTAACATCAAATACTGGAGGGTTACTTCCTACTACCACTGACCCTTCTACAATCACAACAAGTAAAGATGATCGTGTTTGGTCTGAATTTAAAGAAGGCATGTGTGAACTGTTGAACAGTGAACGTTGCCTGGTCGTGGCGGCCGCCTCTCCGGATGAGGTCGTCTCTGTTTGCCGCTGTGTTGATGATGTGTGCGAAAAATTTCATAATCATCATAATAATCATAATAATAATAATCATAATAATAATAATAATAATAATAATAATAATAATAATAATAATGGAGATGATCATAGTCATAGTGAAGAAGAAAAGAGTGTAGAACTACTAGCTCTACGAAATGCCCCAAGAGTAACGTTCACCACAGAAGAGAATATATCCAAATTGGAGAAATGTACCGCCGTCTATGGCCGTGTGCCGGCGTTTATCGTGATGGAGATGGAACACGATCGCTTCTTTGTGCTAGACCTCCCAGACAAGAATAATAATAATAATAATAATAATAATAATAATAATAATAATAATAATAGTAATAATGGTGAGAAACAACATCAAGAAGGATCATCATCGGTGTTGCAATCCTCATCAACGCGATCGAAAGTACACAACTCCACTATAGCGCTGGCATCTACTTCAGCCACAGTCGTTGCAAAGTCGCTATTACACCCAATAGATACATTGAAATGTCGACTACAGTCCTCTAGCACTCGTGAGTGGAGTCGTTTCCGTAATGAGTACCGTGGAAAATGGGGACCACGATATCTCTACGGTGGACTTCCAATTAAATTAGTTTTTTATATCCCCTATCAGGCAATATATATGACGACCTATAGTAATATGAAAGATATATTGCGACCAGCGGATGTAAATCGAGAGAGTCGTGTTGCTTTTCTCACGCGAACCATTGCGGCTGCGAGTACGGCAGAGTTTGCGAGTTGTATTGTACGTGTACCGATGGAAACGGCAAAGATGCGAATTCAGGCAACAGTCGTGCCAAATACACAATGTGCGGTTCAACAAATATATCAACAAGGCATTCTATCCTCTGTTAGACTTGTGAAATCACAAACCTTTCTTCATGATATTCCTTATAGTGCTATTCAGTGGATTTTTTATGAAAGTCTTCGTCCATGGATGTTACATTTTGTAGGGAAACATCAATTAAATATTGAATCGAAGAAACATTCACGTCTTCGTGCGTATGTGCAGAATTTTCTCTGTACATTTCTCAGTGGTGGATTTAGTGGAATGATTGCCTCTACTATTACAGTGCCGCTGGATGCGATTCGAACTCGAGTTGTGGTCGCCACGGCAGCGAATCCACACGCGACGGTGCGGAGTGTAGTGAGAGATACGTACAGAGCTGGTGGGATTCCTCTCTTCTTCCGCGGTGCGTGTACGCGTGTGTTGTGGGTGACGACCAACATGGCTGTGTACTTCCCACTGTATGAGTTGTTTAAGGCCATGTTGATTGTGAGAGAGGAGGACGCTTCCAAGTCTACTGCGTGATATATATATATATATATA